AACCTCGATGTGAATTTTGATTGATTTCGTGTGGAATGGTCGATATATGAATTAATGCGATTGTTCGGGAACGAACAATCAATCGACGAATTGTCTAACCCTGGGAAACGTCGTCTGACGTTTCGTGTCGAGACATTTCGCAACACTCAATAAATACACTTCAGTTAACTAAAATCAATCCGACCGGCCGGTCAGAGTTTTCTTGTTTACTTTAAGTTCATTCTTTCAGTACTCAAACAGCGATACTAGAAACGAAAAAAAATATTTTTTCCGTCGTTCCTTGGAGTAACCAAGAAGTTTATATAAAAAATGTAGATGTTATTTACAAACACCAACAAAAACGGAATTTCTGCCTAATATTTTCAAATGCATGCCTTTTTATCGAAGAATACATCAATTCGTTAGCACTCGAAAAATCAGCAGCATCTTTGGTGTGCGTACATCGTGTGTGACATAGCGGCACTATGTAGCCAAAAATTTTTTGAAAAAAACGTATTTTTTTTTATTCTCCTGCGTTTTTGGTTTTTGCATTTTTTCCTTTTCTGTAAATTTTATTCTGCATTTTTGGGTTTCTGCATTTTTTTTCTGCATTCGATACCGTAGTATTTAGTATTTCTTAGTACTTAGTTAGAAACTTATTACTTAGTACTTAGCACTGTGAGGAAAATTTTGTTGCAAGGTGTCTTAACCCTGTTGAGCCATGTTTTATAACTAAGTTTTGGGCTGAGTGCTAAATACGGTATATAAGACATTTTTGTACGGAAATAGGTTGAACATTCAAAATATTAGCTTGAAGCATAACTTTGAGCGTTAAATGAGCCAATGTTATTTTTGAAATTATTCTGTACAAAACTCGATTTCATGCATTATTTCTAAGTACTTTTCAATTATTACTCTATACTAAGAACTGAAAATTTTATTGGTGTGAACGGGCGATTCTGATTTTCAAAGATTATTACGATTTTTATTTTCCGCTCTTCACAAGAACCAATGATTCTGCATTTTTTAGCAAAATATCGAGCATTTTTGCAAAGACTCTTCTTAAAGAGCACTGCTGTCTCAGATTACTTGTTAGCTCATCGGCCCAATTGACCTACCTTTTAGTGAAATGAATGTTGATCATTGGTTTGAAATTCGAATAAAAGCCATTTGTATATAGATAAATTTGATTTTTATTTTGCTTACAAATAAATAGTTTTTTTTATTAAATTGCGTTAGTTAGATCTATGGAATTCACCAGTGAATAATTATGATTTCGTTTGAAGTTTTAGATCCCTTTAATTAATGCAAAACGCATTCCCTATTTATTGGCCATGAAGTATGGATTCTTATTGCTATTTGCTTGTGACCACTTTTAATTTATTTTTTGATGCTTGCTCTATTGTCTAAGTCAAATAGGCTATAGTGACATGCTAGTATACTAAGTACCTACAAAAATCCCCCCATTTGCGATGAAAACATCAAAGAAAACATTGAATATCATTGTTTCAATGACTTATATTCCAAAGGTATGTCTTTTCGTTATCATTGAACATGTGCAGAATGAAATATATGAAACCAGTCAATTGCTAAATTATCATATTAATTGTGAGCTCATTATAAATGAATGTGTGAGCGTTTTGACAAAATCTATTTCCGTTTGAGACTTGTTATGCTACTAAGGCTATATCCACGTGAAACATTTATCACTCTCATAATAAATTAGGCAATAAATTTGGAAACAGACTTTTCTTTGCAACCAGAATACAATAAATCGTCAATTAATTGTGGCAATTCTCTCAAAAATAATAAAGATTCACAAAACTTTCTATCGCCAATTTAGAATAAATTCTCAAAACCAATTACCACACAAAATCACAAATTTGATCAATATATATATATGCCTATATATGACTTTTAGTTTGTCTTTTCGTTGAATACAACAGTTTTTTTTTATTTTCGAATTGAATTTTAGTATTACCGCTTCTTTTTTTAAACAAAATTCACCCAATATTATAATTACATTTTATTCGAAATTTAATAACTCTTATTTTTGGAGCCAAATTGTAAAAAAACTCTATTCCAACTTCTCAACGATATTGTCATCTGGTCTGTAGCAATATTTGGCGACGCAAGCCTGTTGAAAATCTCCATATACGAATTTTCCCATCACTGCAATGAAAATGCAACAATTTTTATTTTTAAGAATATTTTTGATAAGCAAATGGAGTGAAATATATTTATGAACACAGTCATAGAAAAAGCATGCATGTGAAAATAAATTATATATAGAGACAACCAATAAGTTATAAGTCAAACTTCAGACAAAACATTTCAAATTTACAATTTAAAAAATGTAAACAAAGCTTTGACGCTATTCAGTGAAAATTCAACAATGAAAAAATCAACAATGGCACTCAGGCTCGAAAACCTAGACAAAAGGCTTCGCTCTAATGTGTTTTTGTTAATGATAAAAAGAGTGAAAATGAGAAATGAAATAAAAAGACGACGAAATAAAAAAGATGGTATCGAAACGTCAACAAATAAATTATTGAATTCAAACGTATGCAACAGATAAAATAACCAATTCGAATGGAATGCGTAATTCTTCGAATGAAGCGTCCATGATGAAACGGTAATTACTTGCTATTTTCGATTTTTGTCACCGGCATGTCGAAACGCTAATCTATTTAATTTCGTGTAAGTGGTATAATCAAAGGCACAAATTCATTGGTTAACCATAGACAATCGCTTTTGTTTTTGTCATCTTAAAATTTAAGGTACAAGTGTCAACGATTTGGCTACAAATAAACAAGCTAGAGCTAACAATACAAGGAGAAGTGAATAGAATTGACACATTCTTTATGCTGGTGGTACCAATCGCCATATCCGTACTTCGCCCGAACTATATCCAATTTCGAATAAAGAAAGAAGACAATGTGAGGGGGAAGAAGAAAGAAGAATTATTTGTTACAGGAATTTCCATAAAAAAATTTTGGCACGTCGATATCAAAAAGGGATTAGGAATAAATCTAATTATTTATTTATCTAATTTACATGCAATACTTGAATTCTTGCAATCGATAATTTAAATGACTTACTTGGCTGCTGTATAAATGAGTTGTCCATTGCAGGCGATGTCATTGATTGGAGAGTCAGTTTTCATATCGGCAATGCTTTCGCAAGTGTTCAAATTCCACAGCCTGATCATGCCACCCCTGCAGGCCGATAGCAGAATATCGTCTGAAATGGTCATGCCTGAAACCCATCCTTTGTGTGCATTGTTTAACGACTGAAGAAAAAATAAGAATGAAACGTTAATTTAGTTATTTCTCAATCGTAATTCTATTTTTTGTTGCATACTTGTTTCAATTCGCCGTTGCGCAGATCCCATCGTTTAATTCCTGTATCTCGACTACCAGAAAACAGTTCTGCGTCTGCTCCAAGCGAATTTTTGGCGACGACCAACGCTTGAACGCCATCGTAATGTGGTGGTTCGAGATGAAGTAGTGGAGAAACTGTGCCAGCAGTTGATGACACCTCAAACACCTTAACATAATGATCCTTTGAACCAGTCGCCACAAAATCTGTTCCATTCGATCCTTTCCACGACGCAACGCACATAACAGCCGCCTGATGACCGCCGATCAACTTTCCAACACAAGAGAAATTTCTCAGATCCCAAATACGTACTTTATCCGATGCGGCAACGTATAAATTGCCCGACGCTCCCAAAGAAAGTGCCGTAACTGGTGTTTCTCCTGTTTGAAAGAGGCCCAGATTTGCAGTGTTTCGTGTTTCCGACAAAGTGTTTCCGGATGAGCATAGTGTCTTTACTGCTTTGGTATGACTTGATCGCAAATCCCATACGCGAACAAAAGCACCACATGCCGAAAATAACAAATTCGTCTTGCGATCATATTCGACTGCTACAACGGGGCCGGCATGTGACAATAAACCAGTTGGACCATTTGTTTTGCCTAAATCCCAAATTCGAACAGTTCGATCTGTGAAAAAGTATAGTCTGGTTTTATTTATAGTTCAGGGAAAAGTATGTTACGATGTGATATATGTATCAAACAATACTCAAATAAGTAGAAACAGTATATGTGAATGAAGCATATAAATTAAATGAAGATTTGACTTACCTGCAGCAGCGGTGTACAAATGATTGTCATTTACTTTGACGGAGAGAACTGAATTACTATGGCCCTCAACAATATGCGTACAGTTCAGTGGGTTGCTTAACTTTGTCTGAAGATTAACACAATTATTACACAATCATAAATAAATGCTAAGCATGAAAATTACCAATAAGTGTTTTTATTTTTAAAAAAATGCCTTTAATATGACAATTCCCTCTTACCCGGCCGCTGTATTCGCGAATCGATCCGCCTGGCGCTGGTTCCGTTGTGCCTGCACCTAATCTTGAAAACACATCGGTAGCAGTGTCTTCACGCGATGTCATGCGCCTATAGACTTGTGGTGATGGTGGTGTTTGTTGATCGTCATCTCTGATTGTCGTTGATGATTAGTAGTAGGCAAGTTAGTTTTGGATTAATTGGAATAAAAAAAAAGTTAGTTTGAAATGGACATGAAATGGCTACTTATTTTCAATGAATCCAAATTAATCTAAATGGTGCTATGTACTGTACATGGAATAACTGTGCCAATCTACCGATAGAAAATATGATTTTATGTGCGATTCATAACAAACAAAGTGCAAAAATGGAGTGGAAATGATAGATGAAACCATTGTGAGAATGAAGTTTTAGCCTATAAAAAATTATTAGCAACAGAGTTACAGCGTGAATGAAAATATGATTGAACTATATGATACATGCTTTAACCGTTTTTTATGATCTAACTAACATTCGGAAGTAGCAAGAGAAACGCATTTGGAGCTAATTTCAGTTTTCACTCATAACATAATCATATTTTATTTTCACACATATAATCTAAATTGAACATAAAATTCTATGAAGCATCTATGTTCATGGTCAATTTAACGCTATATTAAAACAGATTCTTTAGTCGAGATTTGAAAAAAGAAGACACTTGCACCGTGAATAGACTGTATATAATCTCGAATCAAATCAAAACTATATCAAAAACAATTGACTCGGGTCGATAATCTAATTATTTACATCAATTTCTAGCCGTCGAATTCTCAGTTCCCGCATACGTATCATATACAAGTGCAGAAGAAATAATAGTTTGACCTAACCATAATACTTTACGAATTAAACGTTTCATTTAAAATGCTAATGGCCATATAAATGACGCTGAAAACTACAATGAATGCATAATAAAATGCATTCATGTAAACACCAGCGGCTTTAGTACAAGATTGTCTACCATTTACAGTTGATTTATCTACATCGAAATCGAATTCGAGTACAGTAGATGACTTACAGTCCGGGTGATGCTTTGTTTGGAAAGGGCCGACGCGCGAAACGCGGAGATACTGGTACCGTTGGCGCTGTGTCCAACGACTTGCGCGGAAATAACGGCGACGATAGCTTTGGATTATTCGAATGATTTGTGGCGAAAGTGTGTCGTGTCATTGTCGGTGTGCTTGTGTGAATGGGCATCAATCCTCTATGGAAATGATTAAACAACCAGAAGGATAACGTGAACCTCTTTAGTGTGTTGAATGTGAAGTGAATGACAAAAATCCCGTTTTTAAAGGGTAAAAATAATAAAAAATGTAAAACAAAGATGGGACAAATGAATTGCAACGAAACCAAGTGAAAAAAATAAAACGCAATTGGGAAGAATAAACGAAAAAATAATAGAAGAAAGAAAAAATTGAAAAGAGAAATTTGTAAATAAAACAATTTCAGAAAAACACACATTGAAAATGTGAAAAAAAAATAAAAAAACGTGTTTGTTTTAAAGAATTTTTTGCGTGTATCACAAAGAAGAAAAAAAACGAATTTTGTGAACAAAAAGTCGAATTTCGGATGATGAAACTTACTTTAGCGAACCAGGAGCGCTTGGAACGCGTGACAATGGGATAAAACTACTACGTGTCATGTCGGTTTGTTGTTGTGGTGATTGCTGTTGCTGATAGGAACGTGACATTTGATCGTTTGACGACGAATCACCAAACAGCAAATCTTGTGGTTGTGCAGTGCGTCTTCTTACTTTGTTTGGTGTACGAGGCGGTATCGTGTCACTAATCATCATCAACATAACATACACACAATATAACAGATTTAGAAAATTTCGATTAATTCCAATTTCCGTCAATTGTTGCTTTCTCGGTTTGTTCTTAGTTCTAATTTTCTAGTCCAATCAAACCACAATGATTTTACCAAATATTTGTGACAATAGATGTCATCAATGTGTAGAGATTAAGTTATTTATGGGTTAAGACATATTTTGGTTAATTCGGAAGAGTAAATTGCAATTAACTCCTATCAACTATTGTACTTAAAGAAAAACTTAAGAAGACTTGCATTTGTTATGGTTTTTTTCTTCAAACAAGCTTGAAGCATAAAATCAATTGAATTATGTATATATGACTAATGTACTCACTGGTCATGCATTGGTGAAGGGGAACGGCTTATGCTTGAATTTATAGTATTACTACTATCAATAGTTGGCCTCTGCCCATGTCCATTTTCTTCTGAACCTAGTGCCGTCAGGTTTGTGTATGTGCCCGAAAACTTATTAGAAATGGTAGGTGTTGTGATCAAAGTATCTGGGAAAGCCACCGACGGATTTTGAGTAAGCACATGCTGAAGCAATTGATGCTGAATATTGCTCTCTTGTTTGATCTAAATATAAAGATTGATAATAATAGAATTTTACAATTAAAAAAAGTGAATAGATAAAATGAAAGAATGCAGAAAAACTCACATCGCTGAGTAGGGCTTCGTTATCTATTAATCGATTCTGTGTGAGCGCTGTTTCGCACGTTTGTAATATCGATGAACTTGTCAATTTTTCCAGCAAAAATTTGGCCTCGTCATAGCTTCTAATATTGTCCAACAGATTTTGGATATTCTGTGTATCCGATGTTGATTGTTTTCCATCTTCTATTTCTACGATGGAATGTTGCACTTGGGTGATGTTCTCTTGAACAAATCGCAAGCTGCTTCGAATCGTGTCTTCTTCTGAAGCCAATTCTGCTGAATATTCGTTTTTCTGTCGTCGTTTCACGGCATTCAAATCCTTAATCAGTGATTCGCGTTCAGTCACCAAACGCTCCAATTCGCTTTCCAGTTCGAACATTGTTTGTTTAGTGCGAGCTGCACGATTAATTGTTCGCTGCAAAGTTTCCCACTTTGTACGTGCTTGTTTTGGGTTGAATATCACAGGTGTTTTCTTTGGTGGTAGACGGCCAGCAGCCTTTTGGCTCATATTGCTTCTTCGATCACGTTTCAAAGCAGCAACTTCCTCAATACGTCTCTTCAAAACTTGATCCTTAGCAGCACTTTGTGTCTGCAACGACTTGATCGCATTTGACTGTTTACGCTGTTCTTTACGCAATTGGGCGATTTCACGCGCTTTACGACTCTCTGCCTCCTTGTGACGGCTTATTTGTTCGTTCATTTTCTTGACCAGTTTTATCTATTTGAAAGGAAAAACGAAATTAAATAATTACGTGATTGAAAAATCAATGAATTCATTTTCGAATATTTTGTACCTTCACCGATTTCAATTCGCTCAATTCTGCCTTCAATGTACGTAATTGTGTCTCTTGTGCCTGGATTTCGCGATGTTGCCGAGCATGCTCTCGCTGTGCAATTTGCAACTTTTTCAACTCTTTTTGCATGTCGCTTATTTTGCGTTCATATTCTTCACGAACCTTCTTCGTTTTATCATTAGTCACTGAAGAATTTGTGCTTCCACCCATTGAAGCCGACATATTCGCAAGAACTTGGTCACGTTCACGTTGGGTGTTGATGATTTTCGAATTGAGCACATTCAATTTCTTCTCGTAAATTTGACGCATTTTTTCCATTCGATTCTTGGTCATTTCCAATTGTTCGATCAATTTACTCTTCAATTCAATGTCTTCGCTGATATCGATCAAATCTTCTTGACAAACTGTATAATAGTAGGAACGATGATGAATATATTGAAGTTAAAAAACAAGGCCAATTTTGAATGAGTAGTTATCTACTAATCTCACCCTTTTCATCAGACTCATCTGAATCATCGTCGCTGTCCGATTCGTTCTCGTTGTCAATGGAACTTTGATTATCATCGGGAAAACCGGGCAAAGATCTTGACATAAACATTTCTCGCTCTTTTTCCAACTTGCGCTTTGCCATGTCAATAACTTCTTCAACGTCTGTGAAGCATGAAGAGGAAGAAAAAGTAAATTATAATGTTCGAATTGAATGAATTGAATAGTTTCAATTGTGTCAAATGGTCGGTGAACCAAAATTTAATATCAATTTCAAAACAAACCTTCCGTATCGGGGAAAGTGATTATATTTTTACGCGTTGTATTCATTGATTTCTTCAACTGATGATACATTTGTTCGGCTTCAATCAGCTTAGCTTTAAGTTTCTCAATTTCTTTGATATATCGACCGACTAACTCGGATACGGATTTATCGTTGGCTGAATGGAACAAAAGGAAAATTCGAGAATTTTTTGCTGTTTTAGTTTGAACAAGTTTGAAAAAATTTTTCGGGAACTTACACATCGAACCCCATTCACTTGCTTCTTTTTCCGCTAGCAGATCAACGTTTTTGTCCGTTACATTGTTGATTGTCTCTTGCATGGCTTTGATTCGTTGCTGAAGCCTTTTGTTATCGGCCAACAGCATTGAATTTTCATGGAATGTATCGGTCAGCGTTGAATTGCCCTCTGAATCGATAGTTCGTTTACCTTGTTTGTATTCAATCAATTCCATTTGAAGCGCGGCAATTTCACGTCGCAGCAGTGAAATGGTTCGCGAACTTTGGTCTTGATTAACAACCACCTTATTGGTAATGTTGCGTGCACGATTCGCATACTTTAATGTATTCAATGTTTCCATGAAGTCACGGTCGCTGGGCGAAACACAGGCAATCATAAGCGTTTGGCTATTACCTCCGAGAGAATCTTGCAGAAGTCTGGTAAGTTTTGAATCACGGTATGGAACGTGTGTTGCTTTCTTTGTTGAATCACCTAACGCTGAGATAACGTTACCAAGTGATAGTAAACCAGAATTGATTGAAATTCCTTCCTTTGCACGTTCGCCAGTGGCTCCTGTCCGTTTGAGTCGTTCTGAGAGACAGTGTAACAAAATAGAAAAATAAATTTTTATAAATTTCGAATATGTATAATGTATTGCCATATTATTTACCAGATCCTGCCAGATCCACGAAGTGAAACTTTGCGGTCAATGTTTCAAGATCGTCCTCCATCACACTGTTCTGCTCAGCCAAAATTCGTCTTTGACGCTTGATGAGAATCGTAAAAATAGCATGGCTCCTCGACGACTGAGCATTCATCTGGGTCGATGCTGTAGTTCGAGCTAATGCACCTTGTTGTAAGCATCTCATTGCGTCTTGCGGACCGTGAATCGGCTTGATTGTGGCATCTGGCACATTTATCGCTCCTGATGTGTCAGCTGTTATTTTATACTGTTTTGTCTATATTCAAGCCATACAAAATATTTGTTTTATTCATTAACAACTGTTCACATAAATAAAATCGCTTCAATCAAAATGACAACATGTTTTTGATGTCTGATGAACATATGATTATTTTTTACGTTGTTCAACCGAATCAAATGACGAAATGGTGCAAATCACCGCGAACACATTGTAAAATGATTAAAAAGAAAATTTAAACGACATCAAAAACAAGTGCTCTGTTGACACTCAACAGAGACTAGGTTTTATTTTATTATTTATTTTATTATTTATACCTTGTTGTATGGATCGAGCAAGTCTATGATTTCTTCGTTGTAAAGTTCCATGAACTGTGCGCCAACACTAAATTGCAGCATATCCATACAAACGCCGTTTTCATCATATGGATTCTCCTTCAGATTGCTTATTGAAGAGAATAAATGGCGCACCGCTCGCGGAATTATTCCTTCTTGTTCTTCGTGAGTTTCAGTCTCAAAGCCGGTACCCATCGTGAATGTTTTACCAGATCCAGTCTGGCCGTAAGCTAAAACCGTTCCATTGTAACCTTTCATGGCACCATCAACGAGTCGTTCGACACAATTCTTATAGATTTCGCTTTGTGAGGAATCCACATCGAACACATAATCATATGTGAAGGCCTTGTCGGCACCTAAAACTATCTGCGGTTCATTCGGTGTCACTTGTGTACAAATCCGGCACATGTCGATTATCTCACGCGGTATCTGCGGCCGTATTCTGAATTCAATGAAGAAAAGAGAGAGAAAAGTTTTAAAATTGACACATTCAATTTCGAATGATTCATAGGAAATGTAAATTTGCGAAAAGCTTTGTAAACGGTCCCATATCAAAATACAGCATCAACCTAACTAATGAGATCATTTGGAAAATACTCTACGGCAATATATATGCAAATAGAACAAAAATATGTTGATACGATATTTTCCGTTGTTATGTTCTTATTTCGAGAGCTCAATAGCATAAATTCAGCAAACAATTACCGTTGATGATTGCTTAGAAAAATGGCGAAGAGAAAACCGTCTAGATAACAGTAATTCAGATTTCCTGTATATTTGTTTCAAAATAAAATCCGCCGAGTCATGCGCCTCAATCCAAAGCGGTTGATTATGAAAATTTCAAAAAGAATCGAAGCCAAATGTGTCTTGCACAGGCGATTTTCACATTTTGATTATGCACGAACAACAATATTTGTATTTATGTTTTCTTCATTCCATTTCGAAGCAACGGAACATGTGCAATGTATAAATACATATTGCATTTCGAGATTGAATTTCATTGTTTCCAACGAATACATTTTGTTTTCACAAAAACTGTTCGATGGAACAAACGAGGAAAAAAAATGCGATGTCTGGTATTTTATAGTAGTAAATGGGGGGAATGGGTAATGCATCGTTTGATTGAATTACAGTGCCATATGGTAGATTACGTTTTTGCAAAACATGGAAAACCATCGGATGTTTTAAAATCAATTAACGACACAAAAAACACTGACCGAGCGTAACGAACGTCGCGAGTGAGTCCAATTTTTATTTCGTTCATTCAAATGGTTGATTTTGGCACACGCATAATCAAGAAAATAGCGCTCAATTTTGAACATGACGGTTTTTCATTTTCAAACCAATATTCGTATGTTGGCGATGCACTCATTCAAATTTGAATGATATTTTTTCATCTTTCTTTTTTATTTTTTCGCAGGACCCGTGGTCCTAAAGGTAAAGTATTCCGATTGGACCAAATTTTAACAACCGCCAAAAACATGATTTCTATCCGTTTTCAAGGCCTTAGAACACGAAAAAATGGCTTTTAAAGCGATGTTTTGTGGGTCTGTCCCAAGTCGTACGTTCCACACAATCTTTCTATATGTGCGGTTTGTTTGAGCTATTGGCTAAAGATATTCATTTCTTTTTTTTTTTGATGTGTTCGGGACCTCAAGAGCATGGTTTATAACTATTCCAATAAAAAATTATAGCCGCTTGAAAATAAGTGATATTTTTCCCATTGTTTTTCGAACTGTTTTTCCAAAAATCAGATTTGCTTTGTGTTATTACTATTTCATCAAAATATTGGGAGCCTAGGAACAAATAAACACCAACTTTCCCACCTTTTTGGTATCGAATCGGCAATTTTTTACTTTTCCGCAGGACCCGTGGTCCGTATTGTAAAGTATTGCGATTGGACCAAAGAACATCCAAGACAGTTCCCCAGTCGAAAAATATCCCGAAAGAGGTGCTGCATGTCAATAACAATGTGTAATCCACCTATCGAACACAAATACATATTCAAATGCATCCTCACTCATTCCTACAATCGTGACGAATTGTGTGCTATGACTGAATGCTGTCACATCGCCGCTATTGCGATTGAATGTTTCTCAACAAATCAAAACATGAACGGCACCCGTTTATATGAATGAATACACGGACAACGATTCGCCACTCATTGCTACAGCTGACCGAATGCATCTTATGGTGTATGCGGTAGCTGAGTGTTGTTTGTAAACAAAATACCGTTATGTTCGATACAAAGAATGATGCGCGTTGCTTTTCAATAGATTTCAATATTTCATTTATCCATTGTCAATCGACAAGGGATGATGCACAAACGCAATAAATAAAATCACTCCAAATGGATTCAAACGACATTTTTAATCGAATAAATATGTTTTGGCTACATAAATACAGTTAATGATTTTTTTCTAACGTATTATGAGCTCGCGCTCTCAAGCGACAGTAAAATTTGGAAAAAAATATTCGCAACATCGAAATACAGTGTGTATCGAAACAAACACTCCAGCGGAACATGCTGTGAAGCATTTATGTATGTAGATTTCTTTTGCTACACACTGTTCGTCGCTGTTGCGTGCGCATGCGCGGATCCCGAATACGAATACATGCACGCCTGCGAGAAACCAATCTCATACATGTTGGTGCGTGATACACTTTGGTGTAATGAACAACACAAGGTCTGTGTGTTTGTGGATGTCTGTTTACTAAAATGAAACACCAATTGGAGCACTATAGCGACATCTGACAAGATATTTCCCACTGGGAAGAAATGAGTCGATTTTTAGGTGAAGTTTTTTTAACAACCGCCAAAAACATGATTTCTATCCGTTTTCAACTCCGTAGAACACGAAAAATGGTTTTTAGGACGATGTTTTGTGGGTCTGTCCCACGTCGTACGTCGTACGCAAATTTTTAAGTGAAATTTGTTACCACGATTTCCCGAACCCAGTCAGAGATAAAAAAAATCTGGAAAAGACAAAAGTTTAAGCTCCACTAGACTTAGAATCCAGTCGATTTTCAGCTAGCCCAGATATACCCCTGGGGTACTAGGGGTACCTGATATATGAACCTAAAAAAATCAAACTTTTGTATGGGAGGTACCTAAACTAGGCTACTTGTGGGCTTTTATCATTCCTAACCGATGAATTTCATCAAAATATTGGGAGCCTAGGAACAATCGAACACCAACTTTCCCACCTTTTTGGTATCAAATCGGCAATTCTGCTTCACATTTCATGAAAAGTCGAATTTTTGTGTAGGAGGTACTTGAAATGAGCGCTCCTCAGAAGGTTTTCATCATTCCTAATCGGATTATTACATCAAAATAATGAAGACCTACGAACAACTCAGTGGGCACAAAATCGCAACAATCGCATTCTCATCTCCACCTCTGTGGGCACATAATAATAGAATATTCAGACTCCACTGCGGAAAAATTCGTCTTACATCGTAAGACCCTTTATCTTTTTTTGGCGGTTCATGCATGTCTCGATTTATACACATAGAGAGTGTCACTAATCATCAATTAGCAGTTTATTTTCATTCTAGAAAAAATATAGAGAAAAACTAACGTTGTCGATAATTAGCTAGAGTATTGTGAACTTGAGGGGGAAAACAAATAATTAAACCTCGCAGCAACAATTGATTAGCATAAAAATATAGATAAATGAGCATATACAGTGCCGATCAAAAGTTTGAGTACGACTATAAAATCCATATTT